TCTGGACTTCATACTCAATTTAAACCGCTCACCGAATAGACCTCTGGTCCAAAGAACTCCCAAAGCACGGGAATATGCCCCAATATTGCCATGTACCTGTTCAAGAAAAAACCGACTGCGCCCCAGGACGGACGTCCGCACCTGAACCGCCAGAACCGCTCCACCTCTGCAGTAAAGGTGAGAGCGTAGTCGTAGTACAAGATAGCTATAGAGACCAAGGAATGAGCTCGGGTCAGACAACGGATATCACGACTCACCGAATGCTATCATGACCAGGGAGCGAAGGACAAAGTCGGATTGCGCACTTCAAGCAATCAGCCAGTAATCAACGGCCGACTTGAATGGACAGCTCACTCGGTCTTTGAAGAGGAATTCATGCCTATTGTGTCCTGCACAACGGTCTAAGAAAGAGAAAGAGACTAGCAGTGAGTGGGGAAAAGCGATTCCCAGGCAAAGGAGGCTCTTCAGTCCTCTTAGTGCCCGCATACAACATCGGCGCAGGTGCGGGTATCTCGCACGGCTTCCATCTTGCCCCTGTAGATGTGCGATGCGGTCAGATCAGCCACAATAGATGCTACTCAAGGCTCATCTATGTGTGGCATCGTCATGGTGGTCGCGCTTGCGGACAGGCTCCCGCATTGCTGGCAGCTTCGGCCCCTACGCGTAAGCATACTCCTACATACGCCCTTGCTGCCAAGCCTATGATCAGTGGACAACATACGTAGAATAAAAGGACAAGCCAGGACGCACGGACGCTCTGGCAGGCATACAGTGCCTGTGCAGATATAGCGCAACTAGAGTTTGACATGGTCGCCGTTGGCGGCCCGTCCTATAGTTTCACCTTGAGAAACGGCAACCCACTGTCAGCGCGACGACAGAACTCGAAGAATGGACAAGTATAACCGTCTCAATGCTCACCTCTTCATCATTATCAGTGTTGACCGTAGAGAAAAGGAGGCCTTCGGGCCTGAACGAAGCAACCATCACATTCGACAGACCGCGGTACCCGCGTGCCCCCGGGCCAGGCGTCTTGTCACCAGGTTTCCTCTTGGCTCAACTGGGGCGGTTCGTTAAGTGATCCCATTGCAAGCGTTAGAGTGAGTGATTGAGGAACTCGAATTCAGGAGGAGATGACCGTAGCCCTTCAAGTCAAGTAACTCTTACAGTCCGCCTAGTGGGTTCAATACAGGCGCCCATATATGATGCAGGCGCTCACAAGGATCTGTCGGAGGCTTGCCTTCGCCTACGACGGCTACAAATGGATGGACGACGCATCTTATTCCATCCTGATATGCTCTGTAAAATATTTGCGATTGAGTCTGATCACGTCAAGTCACCACCTGCAATCAGTACATACAATCGACTGGCTATCAACGTGACCGAAGGTGGGCTAACTAACGCCTATCGCGCAGGCTCCCGTGCAACGCCTCGCCCACGTCCTCGACGCGCTCATTCATGCACGGCAGTGCGACCGAAACCTGCAAGCCAGGTCCAAAATTTCCCGACGCCCTGGACAGAGTCATGGCGGAGGGTGAGAAAACATCGGGTTGCGGCAGGAGGACGACGGCGAGTACGAGTGTCCGAAACTCCTTCGCGCGCAATCTCTTTGCTAGCTGGCTCGTGCTGTCTGATCGCAGGGATAGGGCAATCCCGAAATGGTGCGACGAGATGTATGCGGGGCTAGACCACCATTCCGTCCGAGGGCCAGCGATATTGCCTTCCAGAGAACTCTGAATCGCGGATATTGAGCATGAGTCGAGCGATCAGTGAGGTCGCAATCCTATAGGTCAAAACCATCAGTTCAGCCTGCTACGGTTTCGCGTTGCAAGTTGGTTGAAGAGTGCATGACATACACGTTCGTAGTCGTGACAGTGATCCCTCTGTATGCAGGCTGAAGAAATGTTGGTACGAGCGTCCGCCTGAGCACAGTTACGCGCGCACCTGTGCGAGCTATGCACAGGACACGAATATTAGCATAATTCCATGCCGGCAAATGTGAGACGACTGCGTACCAGACAAGTCAGGATATTCCCTAGGTGACACACGAACAGAACTCTGCACAGGACATCGTCTGCTACGATCCCACAACGGTACAGATGATGCGTTTGCAACATACCCGAAGTACAACGTACCTGTATGAAGATCAGGGAAAGCGGCGGACCTCACAGATGATAAACTGACCGTCGCGAAGCATAAGAGTGAAGACGCTCCCGCGCCACTTGCGTCCGACCTTGAGAACCCGATACAGCGTGAGGACGAAGACTACAAAGTCAAATACCAACACGCATGCCCACACGGCAGCGAGGTCTGCGGGGATTGTCAATCGTATAATCTGGTGACTGGTCGGTACGTCGATGCAAGACGTACATTCTCCCCTGGAATAAAATGCTCGTCAGCCCTATGATCCACAGGAGAAGATGGGATGCTGACTGTGCCTGGGACATGGTGAGATCGCAGCCTATCCTCTCGGGTACGTTCACAAGGTACGAACGATGGACGTGCCATGTCTGGCCGATAGCCCACTGCTCTCGTGTGGTACGTCAGCTCTGCATACGACGTTGAAGCTCCGCAAGGATGATACGAACCCCACTGATGGCACAGCCCATGATGACCAGGCCAACGAGGAGCAGGAGCACTTGCCGGCTTCCAGAGTATAAGGCGTATACCCGGAATACTTGCATCACTGTCAAGATCGTTGTCAATGCCCTGTATAGTGCTGACCATCATCACATGCACAGAAGACATACCGCCAACGATGACCTGCGTCACTCCAGCAAGAAGCTGATGATACATCTGCAACTCGAAGCACCTGGAGATGTTATCGAAGATGCGAATTGAGCACCGTGCGAAGGCGTCAAGGAAGCAAAGCTGCGCTCACAGCTTTCATACAGCCCAAGGTCAGCGCGGTCAGGGGAGGAAGACATGCTAATTACTCACAGACTGCGCCATTGAGGCGTAGAGCTCGTACATCACGGGAATATGCCCGATTAAAGACAGGTACCGGTTCAAGTAGAACCCGAAGGAGACCAGCGACCAGGGCCGGCCCCAGAAGCGTTCGATCTCGGTGTCCACAGTCAGTGCGAAGTCGTAGTAAAGTATCGCTGAGGAGACGTTGTCAACTTGCACGTAAGGGGTATACAGGAGAGAGAACCGACCGAAGGCAACTGTGCCCGCAGTGCGGATTGCTATATCGGACTCAACACTGGAGTTCTTCGAGGTGAGAGAACGGTGTAGAGAGATTTGGGGGGAGTGCTCACATGAGAGCGACATCGGTCGAAGAGGACATGGTCGAGGAGCGGCCTGCACTCCAACAAGACGGATGATTCCAAGCCAGGGCGAAAGAGGGACGATGCAAGCTTGCTTGGCACTTAATACTCTCGGGTCCTCTCGTCGACTGCGATCGGGAACTGGTAGCATGCAATGCCGGCGCCATCGAGATTCTTGCTGGAAGCGGACAGCGCGGCGAGACATCTTGAGCAGGAGATGAAGAATCTGCTCCATGCCCGAAAGACATCATTGGGTCAGTGTATTGACATCGTGAGAGCCATCGTCTCCTCAATGGACGACGTATAGGTACGTACAGTTTAGGACCGAGACTTACCCGCTGGATTATTCGACTCCAAGCAAATTCCTGACTGGCAGGAAGCCCTCATCGCTCGCAAGCGATGCTGATTACTGCCAACCTTCTCCGCCAGATCAGCTGCCGGGCGGAGGCAACATCAAGGGGATGAAATGGTCGGCGTACCCATACGTCCATTAAGACCTTCGATCAGCGCTCGCACGACGTCGTCGAACAGCTGCCACTGCCTTCTCTGCAAACCAAATCGCAGACATAACACCGCTCCAATAGACGACCAACTGGAACGCCGCATGAGCAAGGCTCAGGTCCGTGATTGGAGCGACAAGCATCAAGAGACCGCCGAGGATGTAAACTCCGAAGACTGTGAGCTGTCGTTCAATCAAGAGCGCGGTGAGGCTGCGCATGATCATACTCATCAACGAGCGAAGTAGATCCAGGAAGAGTGGTACTAACTAGCTCATCGCTCCGAAGACCAGAGCGAGCCGGGGTCCAAAGACGGTAGCGATGGTCCGCTGGCCAACTGCTGCGTCGGCGTCCACATCGACAACAGCCCCGAGCGCGTGCACGCCCGCTGTACAGAGGCCAAGGATATGGCCCTTCAGCGTGAGCATTCTTCGGTCGAGACGGCCGCCACCAGCTGTGTAACCTGCAAGATAGGCGAGGTCGATGATGACGCCATTAGACAGAGAGTCGAAGAATGGCTGCTCCTTGAAGCGGAATGGCGGTGCCGAGTATTGCCAGGACAATAAAAGCAGCAGCGAGACCACAGCGACGTTGGATTGTCTGCCCGAGAGGACGGATGTAGCCAGTATCACGGCGGTCGCTACCCAGGCCGCGAACGTGACGACAGCGTGATAGTTCGGATCGAGTATTGTGCCCTCAAGGCCATCTATCTTCTTGCGAGCATTGCGGGTGTCGGTCTCAAAATCGTAGACGTCGTTTACACCGAAGACAACTACAAATAATCAGTTCTCGCAGATGACCATGTAGAGCAAAGTCCTTACTGAGAGACAGCGGGAATGATAGCGACAGCAATTGGAGGATAGCGGGTTGCTTTCTTGTGAAAGGCTTCGGTGAATGCACCAGTCCAATCGCGTACAGGATGGGTCCAAAAGACCAGCCTACAGGTCGGCTAGTTCTGATGATTACTTTGAAGCTCTCCATGTCGTAGGTTGGCCATCCAGACGGGGGGTGGTAAGTAGTGAAGGAACGTCGTTCAAATGACTCCGCCTGTGTACAGTAGAGTACGTAATCATGAGGCGTTCCGTCACTTGTAAGTTGTTCCGTCGCGGCGCGGTGTTGTAAGTCGAAGTAACCTAGTAGCATGGAAGTGCAGTGTGTAGTAGTAACACTACTGTATCCGCCTTCCCCTCCTGCGTTTGTGAATTCATCAAAACGTACCACCAAATGCCAAAAATTCTGGACGTTGAGGGGTTTGAACCCTCGACCTCACGCACACTCTTCAACTTGAGAAATGCAAAGCGTGCGCGCTACCACTGTGCCAAACGCCCGAATGATTGTGGTCCCTTGCGCAGAATCCTGATCAGACGGCATCCTCTCCGGCCCAAGTCGTCAATGGCAAATGCTCGGAAGACTGCCAACACTGCAGCAAAAGGGAGATCTGGGATCAGACTCAAGCCGGACCGCTACAGTGAGTATGTATTGGGGACTGTGAGCAGGTCAGGCAGCGACGTGTAACTTGAGTCTTGAAGTACTTGGTGTTCACGCGCACATGTGTAAGTACGACATTGTGCTGCTCGGACGCACGACAACCAACATAACCATATCATCAGGAAAGTATCGCAAGGACGATCGATATCCCTACGGCCGCAAACACCACCGCCGGCCTCGCCACTTTCGTGCTGCCTGCACCGTTCCCATGCCCATCCGCAGTCTGCGCCGATGGCCCGTCACCAGCACCGCTTCCGCCCGTAGGAGAAGCGGTGTCGCCTGTCGTGGCTGCAGTCCCAGTCGCGCTCGCTCCAGGAGCCTGAGCCCCAGTGGGAGAGGCAGAGGGAGCTGCAGGCGGCGCCGTGGCCCCTACTGGGACCTCGAACGCGCTCGCGCTCTCCGTCTTGATGCCTACCGTCCTCACGCTCGCGGAGCCTGAGAGCACGATCGTGCACACCGCGACCCCGTCCTTGATACCGCAGTCGTCATGGAGGATGCCCCCGAGCGCGGACTGTACGTCTTCGACGAGGTGGAGGTCGGTTGGTCCTGCGACCATCGTTGCTGCAAGATCACATATGAGCGGGGCTTCAACGAAAGTGAAGTCGCGGGCGTACCGATTGGAGTAGCCGTGACAGAGTCACTAGGCTGGCCGTTCCCGATGGCCCACGTCGTGTGCCCTGCAGAGTCGGTGCCTAGGAAGTTGGCTGTGACATGCCCAGGCTGCGCATCCGGGATGAACAAGGACACTACCGCCGCGTTGGCCGCATCTACAATCGAAATTCTGGTCAGTGTCACATTGGCTGAGTAGATTCTGTGAAAGACTCACATGGCACGAGGAGCGTTGATACATAAAGGAAAGGAATGATAGGTACGCTCAACATCAGCGTCTCGTCAGATCGGTATCTATGTGGAGTTTGCGATGATAGAGGGCGAGTTGATGCGTCGGGCGAGATGATCGGGAGACTTGAAGGAAAGGCAATGTGGCAGCAAGTGCGCCGCCGGGTCGGTCAGGAGAGTAAAAAGACAGGAAAGCGATACACAGATGTACCGTCGTCGCCGTCGCTCTTTTTACATGAGAATCACGACACGCGCAGCGCGAACATCAATGTCCTGGGTAGATCAACACGCGGCACAGCGGCAAAGGAACTTACATATGTATCTTTGCGACGCCTCATCAACGTCGACGTCGACTGTCTCACGGACGTTGATATAGCACAGCACAGTATGGTGCACTGCAACCCGCCGTAGTGCCCAGAACGAATACTCTACCCCTATCGAGTGACAAGCCAAGGTTTTAGGATGGGCACAGCCAATCTGCTGGTCCTTCGTGAGCGGCGAGAGGGACGAACACGAGGAACAGCCACCAGGTCTCAGGCCGGCGAAGGAAGCAATATGCGCTATGCGCATGCGCCTTGAACGCCACGAATATCCTTGGGGTGAGCGTCCTGTTCAATCTACTAGGTGCACCACATGCAGACTAGGCAGACCGTCCGAGCGATTCCCCTGCAGAGTCGTGTGGACATTGACGACTCGGAGCCAGCTGATCAGTCGCTCGCAAACGGCTTTGAGGGGGCTAGACTAGGACGAACGAGGCGCGGTCGGATATGACAGCAGAGACGAGGCATAGCTGCAGTGGGTGTGCGCTCCGATGGTACTAGTAGAGAGCAGTAGAGTCAGCAGTCGGGTTGGACTCGAGCGTAGACTTCAAAGCACTGACGCATCCACAGGCGCTTGAGAAAGAGGGTCAGCCAGCGCTTCGTACATACCGCACCTTGCCCTACCCCGGCCCGCACACCTCGCGCTGACCACAGCTAGATAGATCAGATGCGCGTACGAGGGACTCGGGACGGGGATGTACCCACGCGCCAGAAGAGCAAGGTTCAGCTACGCTGTCACCCAAGCAACTCCATTGATACTGTATTATGTCGCTGTTTACCGACATGCGGCAGGTGCTCAAGTAGTCGCACCAGATGCACATCTATCGGACGCCTTCAGAACATCAGGCCGTACATAACGCCGACAACCACCCCCACGACCCCCAGACTGGAGCCCGCAATCCTGCTGGCCCCGTTCTTCGGAATGCCCGTAACCTGCACCGCGAAGGCTTTCTCGCTCACAGTCTCAGTGGTCACGGGGAGGGTCGCCACGACGGCCGAACCAGAGAGCACCGCCGTGCAGACGGCCACACCGTTCTTGATCCCACAATCCGCCTGCGCATGTATTCCGTCTCCGTCCTCGACGAAATGGACGGAGTCGGGTCCCTCGACCATCGTTGCTGCAGACATCCGTCAATTCGTGCATGATGAAAAGTTGTTATGCATGATGCGTGCGTACCGACAGGGAAGTCAGTGATCGAGAGCGTGCCGCTGGGTTGTCCGGGGGAGAGGCGCCAGGTGGTTTGGCTGCCGTCGACGCCCAGTATGTCCGCAGACATCGCTAACCCGGGTGTGTCGGGAATGTAGAGCGACACGATGTCTGCGTTGACAACATCTACCCCATGGTGCTGTTAGTATTGACGGCCGATATAGGAGCGTCGACAGACAACTTACATGGAGCGAGAAGCAGGGGAAGAGAGAGGCATGCGACGAGGGACTTGCTGAACATGTTGTCGAAGGGAAGTGACGTGTCCTCTGCAGCTGCAAGGATAAAAGCGCAACCGGTGCGGCGTGAAAGGTCGAAAGAGTACGAACGAAAAGAAGAGAAAGCCGAATGAGTCTACCATGCCCGACCAGCACCCACCTACTATATACCTGGCACACGTTGCGGGCAGTGCCCATTCGCAACAACAGGAGTCGCCTTCCGAAGCATGTAGATGCGCCCAGGAGAACCGCAATGACACCGGAGATCGCAGGACGTCCAGTGAAAGCAGAGAGAGTCACTCAAGACTCCTGCGGCGTCTCGCATTTTGACAGGGCCCTACCAATGCATTTTCATCTAGATCGCAGCACGACGCTGAACGTCAACGCGTCGACACACAACCCGAGTTGCAGAGACTACTCACATACAGCGAATGTTCATGCCAGCATACGCCACCTCGAGGAACAAGCCAAACGGTGCGATGACGGCAAGACCGCCGGATGTCCGGTAATCCGGAAGGGGGGAGCTATTCACCCCTCGAGTCTCGCCATATTGCTCCCGTGTGTAGCGATCTGTACTGGCTTCGAAGCTCACTATCAGGAATCAGCCTCCGCGAACCTAGCACCCGCCACCCGCTCGGGGGCCGTGTATGTCGGGGAACAGCCTCGCCATCCTGTGACCTTCGCCACGTGTATCGCTGACTTCTCCATGTCCAGCGCGACTACGTACGTCGCGACCTCCCAGAGTGCAAGGGGCACGGACTGGCGCGACACCAGCCGTGCGAGTTCCCATGGCACTAGTGGGGCCTGACTGGCTCCCCGCCAGAGGGGGACGTCCGGAACAGCGTGATTGGATTACGTGAACGCCTTCCCGTGAGTGTTCGCGCTACGTGAGGAGGTTCGGGCTCCACACTCTGACACTGCAGGTTTGGTTCCGCCCCCGGACTTTACTTATCGCGAGCGGACCTACCGTCGCAAGTCAGTCCTCGACTCTCTGATTCTGCGCATACACTCACCTGTTCTGCAGACAACCTGGGCACCATACCGTCATTGTCTCAGTGTAGGTGGTCTTCAATCGCTTCCAGGATGTGCTAACTGGAGGGGCATAGCAGTGCCGCACGGATGCGATGCAGCCTCGCTTCAAATGCCTTCTCCGCGGCCACGGACTACTCTCAGATTTCGTACATGACACTCACCTCGTTGCCCAATTCCGGTCTCGCGAAGTCTGGGCTCCTTCACGCGAAGCTGACAGCGAGCCTGAAGAGACGATCCTCGCACCCGCCGCCTCCCGCTATGGTGGCGCTCAATGTCGTCCGGAACGGCGAACGGCGGCTGCGCGAGGGTCAGCGGCTGACGAAGAGCTCTGAAGAGCTAGATCTGTGGGAGCGCGCCTCTGCCAGACGAGGCACTACGGGTTCTTCGCGAGTGTCACGGTGACGAGTGTGGTCAGCAAGTCAGACGTAGGCGCGAGCGGGAGCGTGCAGGGAGAGCGGGGCCTGTTGCATTGATGACCCAGATGATACATAGTCATGACATGCGCCTCGTTCTCAATCCAGACACGCCAGAGGCAGACTCTGCAGCCGATCAAACACCTGCCCTTGGAACGTCGAGTTGACATCGAGCTTGTTCGACGCGCTGATCACCGACACGCTGGCGTAGCACCCCGCGTTCACCACTTTGGTCTCCGAGGGAAGGTGGTCCGAATCGCAGGTCTCGAAGTCCGTCTCGAAGATGTTCCACACGAGCCGCGAGAACACCCACTTGTAGCTCGTGGACGTCGGACAGCTGTCGATCGCGGCGTAGTTGACGTTCACGATCACCCCGGGAGGGAGCAGGGGGCCGGGTGTGGAGGCGAGGGCGGTGACGAAGCTCGAGGTGAGATTGGAGTAGACCTGCGCCGCGAGCGTGGACGCGGCGGTGGGGTCGGACTCGAGCGTCGTGTATGAGACCTCAGAGCCGCTGACGCCAGAGAAAGCTGCAGCGGGAACACCATTACGAGCAGCTTCGCAGGCAGCGCCGCTGAACACAGGCGGTCAGCGTCTTATTGAGCCGCGGGTCGGAGGACGCACACAGTGCCCGAGAGGAGAACAACGAGCCCTAGGTTGCCTGGTGACCGTCTCAGCGACTTTGCAAGGAGACTGGTTGCAGGCGACTCACTGCCAATATTCGGGCCGCTCACCACGAAGTCGGGCTTCGCGCCGTTGAAGAACTGCGGGGCGAGCGTTTGGATGCCGTACCTGGCTGCATCGACACTGCGCTCCCGA